ATTTCCCCTAATGTAAGCTCCGGTTCAATTCCTTCATTAGATTTATGAATGACCGTTGCTCTGGATGTGTATATGGACACACACACACACACACACACACACACACACACACACACACACACACACACACAATTTCCCCTAATGTAAGCTCCGGTTTAATTCCTTCATTAGATTTATGAATGATCGTTGCTCTGGATGTGTATATGGACACACACACACACACAAAATTTCCCCTAATGTAAGCAGTCCTTGCTGCAGTGTGACTGTGGTTATTATTTGAGCAGAAGCAGCTCAGATCACCGGCAAAAAAGCCTGCGAGAGAATGAAAGATGTTCTCCGAAGGGGCGTGGACCGGCAGGTGGCCGAGGGCATGTTTGAAAGGGCTCAAGAAAGGATGCAGCACCAATTTCAGCAATTGAAGGTACGCTCCGGCCGCAGTCTCAACTCCGTTCCCGGAGTGTCCTGGAAGCCAAGGAAGCGCCATCAGAAGGTAGAAGAAATCATGCTCATTTGGGCCCTGATAGAACTGGATAATGTCTGCAAGGTGGGCCTCCAGGGTGCCCCTGAATCCAGGAGAAGAGGCTGGCTAACTTGGCACTGCCATGCATGCTGGTGCCCGGCTCTCTTCCGGGGCTGTGGCTTCAGATAGGCAGTCCGTCCGCATCTCACCTGCACCCTTACTCTTTGGTGGTGGTGTTAGCTGATGTCAAGCAGGTTCTGACTCACAGTGACTAAATGACAACAGAACGAAATACTGCCCAGCCCCACATCACCCTCCCAATGCTTGTTACGTCACAGGCCAGTGCTGTAGCCGCGGCTTCAATTCATCTTATGAGGGTCTTCCTGTTTTGCACTTTACCGAGAGACGGGAAGGTCTCTCCTGATAGAGGTTTCAAAGTCTCTGAGATGAAGCTTCTCTTTCCTCGTTTCTAAGGAGCGTCTGGTGGAACTTCTTTCAAGACAGACTTTTTGTTCTGGAAATCCACCATAGAGTCAGGGTTCTTCGCCAGACATCACATTTCAGACACATCACTTCTTCTTTGGTTTTCCTCATTCATCGCCCAACTTTCACATGCCTATGAACTGATTGAAAATACTATGGCTTGGGTCAGGCACATTCTTGCTCTTCAACACATTAGAGATGTCTTGTGCAGCATTTACCAAAATGGCAATATTTTGTTTCATGTCTTAACTGCTGCTTCCATGAACATTCTTCCAAGCAAAATGAAATCCTTGACAACTTCAGTCTCTTCTCTACGTATCATGATGAATGGAACGCTTTTGGTCCAGGTGTGAGGATGTGGGTTTCTCTACGTCGAGCTGTAATCCATACGACAGCTGTTGCCCTTGAGCTCCACCAGCCAGTCCTTCAAGTCCCCCTCGGTTTCAGCAAGCAAGGACGTGTCATCTGCATAGCGTATGTTGTTTATGAGTCTTCCTTCAATCCCAATACCACATTCTTTGTCATATAGTCCAGCTTCTCAGATTATTTGCTCAGCATGCAGATTGAATAATTATAATGAGAGGATACAACTCTGACATACAACTTTCCTGATTTTAGACGTCTCAGTATCCCATCTTGTTCAAGTGACTGCTCCTTAGGCCATGTGCCGGTCCCCGGTAGCATAAGGAAGGGCTCTAGAGCCCCCATTCTTCTCAATGTGATCCATAGTCGGTTATCATCCGTACGATCCAACGACTTTGCATAGTCAATAAAACTCAGACATCTTTCTGGTATTCTCTGCTTTCAGCCAAGATCCATTTGATGTCAGCAATGATATCCTTGCACCACGCCCTCTTCTGAATTCAGCTTGAACTCCCGGTAGCAAACTGTCCATGCACTGCTGCAGTCATTGTTGAATTATCCAGCAAAATTTTACTTGCATGTAATATATTAATGATATTATTTGATATTTTCCACATTCTGTTGGGTTACTTTACTTTGGAATGGGCACCAAAATGAATCTCTTCCAAATTTCATGGCATAGACTAGTGAATGCTTCCAGTACTTCATCCGCCTGTTGAAACCTTTCAATTAGCACCCTGTGCGTTCCTGGAGTCTTGCTTTGGGGCTACTGTCTTCAGTGCAGCTTAGACTTCTTCCTTTAGTGCCACTGGTTCTTGATCATATGCTTGCAATGATTGAACACTGGCCAGGTGTTTTGGTACAGTGACTCTATGTATTTCATTTGATGTTTCCTGCATCATTCAATGTTTTTTTCTCATAGAATCCTTTAATATTACAAATCAAGGCTTGACTATTTTCTTCAGTTCTCCTAACTCCAGGTCTTTGTACATTTTACTGTAATATTTTATTTTGTCTTCTCAAACTGCCCTTTGAAATATTCTCTTCAGCTCTTTTACGTCATCATTTCTTCCATTTGTTTTAGCTAGTGTATAGTCAAGAACAAATGCCAGCCTCTCTTCCGACATCTGCTTTTGTCTTTTCTTTCTTTCCGGTCATTTTAATGACGTTTTTCTTTCGTCATGTATGACGTTCTTGATGTTATCCCACAGCTCTCATCCGGTCTTCTACCATTAGTGTTCAATGTGCCAGACTGTGTTCTTGAGGTGCTTTTGAAATTCAGGTGATACATATCCAAGGTCGTATTTTGGCTTTCATGGACTTGCTTTAATTTTCTTCAGTTTCAACCTGAACTTGCATATGCGCAATTGATGGTCTGTTCCACAGTTGGCCCTTGGACAAATTTTTGCTGCTAATATCAGGTTTCCCCTTCATCTCTTCCCAGAGATGGAGTCAGTTTGATTTTTGTTTGTGACTATGCAATTTTCATGCTGAAAAAAAGTATGTGGAATGCTGAAATTGGGGTCTTGCAAAATTTTATAATGTGAACTCCAGTTTTGTTTCTATTACCAGCACCTTTCCCCCCCTCAAATACTGTCACTTCCTCTTTATTTCTAACTTTAGAATTCCAATCACCACTATTTATTGATGCATCTTGATTGAATGTTTGATTAATTTTAGGCTGAAGAAGTTGGTAGAATTTTTCAGTTTTTACAATCACTCGCCCTAGAAGTTGTTGAGTAAATTTGAATAAGAGTTGTATTAACTGAACTTCCTTGTAGGTAAATAGATATTACTCTATCATCGACAGCAATGATCAAGACAGGTCAGGAGATGTTCTTAATGAATGCAACACCATTCCTCTTGCATTCACCATTCTTAGCATAGTGAACCCTATGCTTTTCTCATTCAAAATGACCAATATCAATCCATTTCAGATCACTAAGGTCTAGGATATCAATTTTTAAAAAATTAATGTATGTGTGTGTTCATTTGATTTCTGATGACTTCCAATTTTCCTAAATTTCATAATTCCTACATTCCACATTCTGATCATGTTTCTTCTCATTTTGAGTCATAGCTCATCAGCTAATGAAGCAGAAAGGGCTCAAACACATCTTCCGCCCTACTGTGCGTGCCTTCCAACCTTCATCTTCTGGCACTAGATCCGCCAATATTTCACTGCTCTTCGTTAGACTTCCAGTGGCTAAGCCCTCAGAAGTGGAGAGCCGGTTTCTGTTTCGTAGTCTGGTTTTGATCCAGAAGCGCTGCTGAAACCCTTTCACCTCAGTGACCCTGCTGGTATTTAAAATACTGGTGACACAACTTTCAGCATCACAGCAACCCCCATGCCACCACAGCATGGCAAACTGACTAACAAGTGCTGTATGCTGTTGTGAAGCAGGCCCTTCAGTTTCCCCTTTAGTAAGTCATAACTATACCTACACAGGAAAGCCTCGTAGTCACATATCCAATTGGGTCCTAAATTCCTTGCATGAATTACTTCTTACCCTCCAGTAGCTCTGTGAGTGAGAAAGGCGCTATGATCGGTCTCATTTTACAGATGAACAAAGCTAAGGAACAGAGAGGTGGGCCATCAAGTTGCATAGCTAGTTCCCGAGTGGAGTAGTGGTTACGTATCGGGCTGCTCACTGAAAGGTCAGCAATTTGAAACCGCCAGCCGCTCCTAGGAAGAAAGACGAGGCTTTCCACTCCCAGAAAGGGTTTCAGTCTCAGAAACTCGCAGGGGTAGATCTTCCCTGTCCCACAGGGTGGTTATGAGACAGAATGCACTTGATGTAGTGAGTTTTCTTCTTATTTAAAAACATCTGGCTACAAGGAGTCCTGGTGGCGCACTGGTTAAGCTCTGTTCTTCTCTGTGCTACTCCTGTAGAGTCACTATGTCCATGTTCCCTCTACTCCGGGTTTCTTGGCTTGTCACAACTCACCCTAAGTAACAAACTCTTTGTCTTAATATAAATTCACCCTTAGCCCTTTACTTGATTGTGTAAACCCCTTACTGACCAAATTCTTTTTCCTCAGTCCGGTCTTAGCTGGCCATCTCTCCCAACCACCCCTGACATATTACTATCTCTGTAGCAGTTCAATTTCAGTCATGTATCATGTTATTACTATCTATCAATACATGTGGACAATATACGGAACTCTATAGCAGCCACTGTCGTCATAGTAAAAGGGAACTTCAAAAAGTTCATGAAAAAAACAAGGAAGGAAAAGAAAATGAACGAGGAAACAATGCCACCCAAAAAAGACTAATACATTGACTTTGTATAATTAGACTTTAATTTTAGAAATGCAGGAAATTCAAACTGGACAGACCAGATGGAATTCTTGGTCCCGGTCCCTGATCTGAGCCACCAGGAAGCTGAAACCCAAAGAAAGGCAATCAGTAGCTCAGGGCTCACAGCTTGAGCTGCGGCTGGAGCATGGGGTCCTGTTAATGTGTGCGGTGCAGCAAAGATAGATTTGAAGACAGGAGCATCCCCTGCCAGCTCGTCGATTCTGACTGCTATCCACACTGTAGGGCAGAGTACAACAAACCGCTCCTCGGGTCTCTGATCTGTGGTTAGCATCCCAATACTTAAGCTGCTATGTCACCAGGCTTTGCCTGACTACAGGAAGGAGTCATGTTTTGTATTTTGTTGTTGTTTTTTAAAGGAGGTGAGAGATGTTTAGAAGAGGGTTGAGGCTGACAGGAGACCTTTCTCCAGCAGTTGCAAAGAAGAAGCAGGCATGCCAAGGGTGGTGTAGGGCACAGAGCTCAGTAACCCTTTGCCTAATCACTACATTCAGGATGGGAAAGTGACTAGTCCCTTTCCTGGTTTTCCCCTCTCTGCTCCTGCTGCTGACCGTCCCCAGGAGCTTCTTACTCAGTGTGTCGTTACCACGAGTCTTCACAGGCAGGGGGAGAGATGAGGAGGGAGGCCAGGCTCAGAGAAGCATTGTCCTATGACTCTTGGACCACTCAATGTCCTGGAAAGTCACTCCCACTCACCGCCCTTGGATCTGACATGAACGTGGCCACCTGAGCCGTGCCCTTGACTGCAAGACTTTTTTTGGTGGGGGAGAGGGGGTGCCTTTTCTCCAATTTACTTTCCCTGGGCTGTGCTGTCTTAACAGAATGAATGCCCTTTGTCATTCACCTAGAATGGGATCACAGAGAAGGTGAAGGGGAGCGTGTCCACCATGCTGACCCTGGCTTCATCCCAGGGGAGTGGCCTCTACAAGGAGCTGGCAGGTAAGCACATTCACCTTTTGTATGAAGAGTGATCACACAGACACACCCAGCTACGACGGCTCCTTACCAAATTAACCAAAATGAACTTGGGCAGAAAGTCTAGAGCCAATGACAGGCCGATGAGGAGAAGGGCGCTGCACCACCTGTGCCAGGTTCTTGGTATGCACCATCTCACTGGATTCTCCCCCTAGTCCTCAGGGGGCGCTATTACTGCTACGGGTGCAAATGCACAGAGACTCAAATTCAGTTATGGGCCCAAGGCCTTATAACTTCCTCTTCTTATGAAGTGTCATTGAGTCGATTTTGATGCATGGGTATCCTGTGGACGGTTAGAATTGTCCCCTCAGGGCTTCCTAGATTATACTTAGGGGAGCAGGTCACCACATCTTTTCCCTCTGAGCCACTCGGTGGGTTCGAACTGCCAACCTTTCAATTAGTAGTTGAGCACTTAACCATTGTACCACCAGAATTCCTTGGTCTCTTCACTGGAAACTGACAGATTCAAATCCATTCTCTTCCCACAACCTGTCCTCCTGTCTCTATAAACTCTTCTCTCTATGTCAGGAGTGGGGAGCCCAAGGCCCATTGGATATTTCTAATATCATCGATGGGGACAGATAAAATTACCAACCTAGAAATTAGCCTGCTATATTTGGTCAAACATTTAATGAACTCTTCCCACATGTGAGGGCTAGAACTGCTTCTCTTTGGTGAGGTGTGTGAGTGATGGTAGTGGGAACTGATGATTTCTTAGGCCTTGTGTGGCCTGTGGAGCCCTGGTGGTGTAGGGGTACAAGATAGGCTGCTAACCACAAGGCTAACCACAAGGTCAGCCGTTTGAAACCACCAGCCACTCCTTGGGAGAAAGCTGAGAATGAGACTTTCTACCCCCGTGAAGAGTTAGTCTTGGAAACTCAAAGGTGCAGTGCTAATCTGACCTGCAGGGTGGCCCGGGCTCAGTCCTGACTTGGTGGCAGGGAGTTTGAGGTATACAGCCGACATTCCTAATTTCCTAGAAGCCTGAGAGTGTAACACCAGCTGCATGGAGCCTAATGTAGGCCACCACCCCCTTTTCCTGTCACGTGCAGGGCCACCAGACTGCTGTGTGGGCCATTCCTCTGGGCTCACCCCTGCAGAAACACAGGTTAGCCCATCTGGTCCAGCCCAGTCCAGCCCAGCAGAGTCCGCTATCTCAAAGAGCTTATTGTTCCTTAGATTTGGTGCCAGGATGTGCATACATGATGGGCGAATGTGCAAAGTGGTGCTGGAAGCATTTGGAAATTCCTAGCAGTTCGATGCACATACCCTTCGGCCCAGCAACCACACTGCTAGAGACGTAATGGGATAGGGATGGGAGAAGGATGAGGCTTTCTGGTCCCATAATGAGTTGCAGTCTTGGAACGCAGAGGGCCAGTTCTACCCTGTCTTATAGGGTTGCTACGAGATGGAATCGACTCAGTGGCCATGAGGTCTTTTTGTTTGTTTGTTTTGCAGGGCATTATTGCTTATAATCTTAAAATGACAGCAAAGCAATTCTCTAGGACTAGAGTACTGACTCCATGGAATTAGGCATATCCAAGATTCCCGGGGGTGTCAGTGGCTTCCTCTGGGTGGATAATCGACAGGCTGGCTGTTGGTCCCATCCAGCAAGCACACCGTGAAAGGCACAGGCCAGGCAATCTGCTCCAGCCAAGATGACAACCCAGACACCCCTACAGAGCAGCTCCACTCTGACAGATGTGGTCCACAGTCCCCACCGCACAGCACATCAAAATCAAACTCAACGACAGCGGGGTTCACTCGTTAGCCATGCCCACGGGAGGCTAGTGCAGCTGTGAGAAAGACAAGGAGCCCCTGTGTGGTGCAAGTGAGAAACATGTTCCACTACTAATCGAAAGGTTGCACGTTCATATATGCCCAGCGAGACCTCCAACGAAAGACCCGGTGACTCCTTCCACAAAATCTGGCACCAAAACCCCACAGCTCTGCTCTGACCCACATGGGGCACTTGAATCAGAATCCATTAGGCCACCAGTTTTTATACGAATATGCGATGATACAAACAATCTCTATAATACATTACAAACTGAAAAATAGGTTGCCCTCTGTGAGGGTGGGGGAGGGGATAAGTGTATGTCTGTTTGTCCCTGCATTAAAATGTCTCTGTGGGATGCGCCTAAACAGTAGCACTAGCTGTGTCTACAGGGCCTGGGAGGGTAGGGCAGGGTTCCAGGCCTAGTTCGCACTCTGTTTTTGTTTGTGCTTTTTCCGTTTTGAACTATCCTTCACAGCAACTTGCTCAGGAGAAAAAAGGCCTGACGCCAGCGCTGAGCAGGCCGGGGCGAAAGAGATCAGGGCCGGGTGTCACGTCAAAGCCACAGTTGTTGCCACTAACCGTCCATCCTCTCTGGAAATTATCATTACACCCACCTTGGGATGGCTAGATAGGCCATCTCTGCTCTTCATATCCTCTGAGGAAGGCGATAGCCCCTCTCCCACCATCCTTTATTGGGCTGGCTCATGACCTCTTCAACTGTCCACAGGGACCTCCGTTTTAGTATGGTGGTCATTCAATTAAAGAGCTTCCGAGTGTCCAGGGCTCACAGGAAGAAAGTGCTCCCCCAAGTTGGATGTTAATGACTCCTGTTATCATTTAAATCTGTTTTCTTTTCTTCATTAATAACACATATTCCATGCAGGGGGCACAGGGCCAGGTGCCTAGTGTACAAACAAACAAAGAAAACAATCCCCCAAACAGGTGGCGTGAGTCGGTTCTGATGCATAGTGACCCTGTATAGAGCTTCTGAGGCTGTAAATCTTTATAGGAGCAGAGAGCCTCATCTTTCTCCCAAAGAGGGCCGGTGGGTTCGTAGTTAGCAACCCAACACTTACCCAGCAGCACCACCAGGGCTTCATACAAAGGGGGTCTAAAAAGTGCTCTCAAGGGCTTGCCACCTGGTTTTGTGGAAGAATGTAAACAACAGTACTTGGTAGTATGCATTCGCTCCTCCAGTAACTGTCACCATGCCTAGGTGCCAGGCAGTATCTGAAGATAGTGAGCAGTGATCAGTACAGATGAAAAGGCCTGCCTTCATAGAGCTTACAGTCCACCTGCGGGTATGAGAGAGAGGAGGCAGGCAACAGCAGACCAGTAAGTCAAATTGTGCTAAACAAAGTGGAGAAAAATAAAGTAAGAAAGGGGAGGGTGTCGAGGACGGGGTGGTCAGGGTGGGTCTCACTGAGAAGCCCCTCAGTGGCTAAAACACCATGTAAGTGGGGTCCTAGCCTTTCAAGGACCCACAGGATTCAAGAGCTATGGAAGAGAGAGCGCTCCAGACCTGGGAGCAAGACTGGGAGACTGACGGACTAGCTCTTGTGACGATGCACGCCAGTGCCGGGCAGCTAGTCCGACACCCCCCCCCCACCGCCCCCAAACCACACCAAACCATGCACCCAACACCAAACTCACTGCTGTGGGGTCAATTCTGACTCACAGCAACCTCTAAGACAGGGTAGAATGGCCCCTGTGGGTGCCTCCTCTCTATCCCAGTCTGAGTCCCAGCCATGGCACATAGGACCAGGTAAGTCTGAAAGGCCTCTAGGGACACCACTTGGGTCAAAAACAGGCAGACAGCCGCAGATCACTCTGAGTGCCTCTGCTCAGAGGTCAGGATCAGACCACAGGTCATGGGACGAGCGCCAGAGGAGTAAACTGAGCAGGCCCGTGTAGAACAGGGACTGCTGGAAGGGGAGGGGTTAGATGCAGGAGCCATGCCTGTGGAGGACTGGGGGGTGGGGGGGGGTAGTGGGGGAGGGAACTGATGTGTGGTCTGCTCCATATTGTCCCCCACTGAGTTCTTACGGGACCCGAGTGAAGCCCCACAGTGGTTTCCCAGGGTTTGGGTTTTGTAGTAACGTATGTTTCTTTGGCAAGTGATGGTGCAGAGACAGCAAAGGCAAACATACCTGCTTTGAGTCAAATTATCTATCAATCAAAAGGGCTGCCGTAGGCGATCTCTAAGTATCGGGGCTCACATACTAGGACAAGTGGCCACGTCATAGAATTCACGGAGGATTTGTTTTCTCTGGGACACTAACCCCTGGGGCCGCGGTGGCCTTTTCTGCAGACGTCAAGAACGAGTACAAGGAGATGGAGAAGCTGCACCGAAGCCTGAGGGAGGTTGCCGAGAACGCAGTGCTGAGGAGGGGCATGCAGGCCTTCCTCCTGAAAATGTCACCCAGCAAGGGCAGCCCCGCCAAACGCCACTTTAATCCACGGGGCTCAACCCCATGAAAGCTGTGAAAAAGAAGACCCGAGCCAAAGCATCGCAAGGATTTGTGACTCCAATAATGGTGTTTCCCCCCTGTTTGTTCTCTGCAGCATACGACCGAATACGCTGCTGCCTCGGACGTACCGATTCCCGAGGAACCTAATTCCATTTTTATTCTATTGTACCAAGTGTCATCTTGGATCCATAGTGGGCTGCTGATGTTTGGGGCCACCATTCTCTTTCCTGTTTTCATATTGACGAGACGGTGGGGTAAAGAGGCCTCGTTGTGTCGCAGAAACAGGAGGGGCTTGGGGAACAGGACAGCAGCAGATCGGGCTTTACCCCCCATGACTTCCCGCAGACTAGCAGCTCACCAACATTTGGGTCCCATCATCCGACACGCTTCAAAATGATTGAGCCCCAGTGGTGTAGTGGTTACACTGCTCACTGCGAGGTCTGCAGTTCAAACCCCCAGTTAGAAAGAGGAGGCTTTCTATTCCTGTAAAGATATACAGTCTCGGAAACCCATAGGGACACTTCACCCTGTCTGGATGGACATGAGTTGGAATTGACTCAGTGACTGATTTTTTCTTTAAGCCATGAAAATGAAAATGGAGAAAATTTGAATGTGATTACTTGCTACTCATTTAAAAGCAGCAATAATAAGCCCATGACATGCTAACATAATATACGAAAAAATATGTATATTTATATATTAATATATGTAAATATATAGAGAGTGAACAACCACATTGTTTTTATAGTCTTGCAAATATTTGTATACCCTGGCTTAATGGAAGACAACTAGATTCTCCTATCTGCTTCTGAATTCAATCTATTGTACTATGCCATTTTAGTCGATGTATATAAAGAAAAAACAGTATACATATACATACACACACACACACATAAACAAATTCACTGCCATCAACTCAATCTTGACTCATAGCATCCATGCATAGGGTCTCTGAGCCTGTCAATCTTTCCAGGAGCAGACAGCCTCATCCATCTCCCAAGTTGGTGGGTTTGAACCTCCAACCTAATGGTTAGTAGCCCAGCATTATCCCACAGACCACCGGTTGGCCTACAGAGGAGTATTTTTAATGGCCCTTTCAGTTAATTTCTTGAGAGTCTTCTTTGATGATACCAACTTGACAATGATGCAATGCTTGTTGCACTTTTGAATCTGGAATTATGTCTTTGAAATGTTTTCAAACTTTGCTATATTAAGATCTATTTATTTTATATTTTGAAAAAGTCCTTTATAAATGCATGGTTTTATGGCATCAGGTATTGGTCAGTTGAAAATATTTGTTCCCTGACTTGAACAGTTCTTCCAAATGTTGACACAGTTCATTTTTCAATATCAGGAAACCATCCTTTGTTAATATCACCACCAATTTTATCAGAAATGTCTTGAAGTATCAGGCAACTGTCAAGCTCATTGTGAAGAATATACAAATCAGTTCACAAAATTTCAGTTTTTGCTGAAAGATTCATCATTCTCAATAACTACTGTCAGTTGTTTCCTTCAAAGGGATGGGTTCACTTCATTTTCAACATGTCCACCAGACGGCCAAGTCTGATTAATCATAGTGTGTCTGTTAGTCATTATTTCAAGTGAAAATGATGTCCCACGAAAGAAGTGTCAAATTCAACTTGCAACATAAACAATCACACACGTGCTTTTCCATGAGGCAGCAGAAGCGTGGTCCCTATATTTTGTCATACAGAAGAATAAAATGCTCTCTGGTGGCTCAAGAATGAATAGAATGAATAACATACTACTTCATTTAAGAGCAGTATTACATGAAACTGGACTTTTAAACTGCACAGGTACATAGATGAAGCATATAAGAATTACCAGAATAGTTTGCTGCCCCTGACTTGATTCAAAATAAGGTGGAAGTTTACTTGCCTTTGATTTCAGTGCAAATGTCAACATGGTAAATATTCTAGTTACAGAATCTCATGTCAATTTGAAGGTATGAGTAAAGGGGTGAATGTTAGTCTGTCAAGTCACAGCCTGCTGGTACCTCCTGCGGGGTGGGGGGTGTCTTCTCATAAGGAGGATCCTGGGAAACTGCCTTTCTCTCTGCTTTCACCTTCCTGCTGAGGAGCCACGCTGATGGCAGCCAGAACCCGGGAGATGCTTCCACCACCATTGGACTTTGTACCCACTGACCTGTGATCTTCCTGCATTCTGCATCATTGCTTGTGGCTGTGGGAGTCTGAAGTGGGATTGATAGACTGGTATCGGACTTACAGACTTGATCTGGACTGGGCTAGGATGTTTGCCTGATATATAACCACTTCTTGAAGTAAAGCTCACTCTTACAGGTACATGAGTGTCCCTGGCTTTGTTTCTCTAGTTAACCTGGTCTAATGCAGTACAATAAAATAAGTAAGACTAAACAAATAAATAAAGGTGTGCTGTTATCGAGCCAATGCCAACTCCTACTGATCCTGGAACCAACTGACATCAAGTCAATTTTATCTTGTAGACCCTACAGAACAGGGTAGAACTTCCCCCTGGGGTTTCTGAGACTATAAATCTTTTTTTTTTTTTTGAGACTCTGAATCTTTGTGGGAGGAGATAGCCTTATCTTTTTCCCTTGGCAAGGCTAAGGTGGGTTTGAACTGCTGACCTTGTAGTTAGCAAGCCAGTATGTAACCCAGTGCTCTGTAGGTTTTCTGAGGCTTTAAATCCTTTCAAAGGCTGATTGGATGTATTATTACATGGTGAATTCAAACTGCCAACCTTTTAGTTACCAGCCCAAATGTTTAACCATTGCACCATTAGGGCTCATAAAATGCAAATAACATCTTAATATAAACTACTTTGACATAGCAGATCCCTAAAAGGATCTCAGGGACCACCTTTTGAGAACTGCTATCTGTATGTATTTATGAAATAGCGATAATAGTAGTACCTGCCCAAAATAGTCCAACATTCATCTGTCAGTTTGTCATACCATACTACCAGTATTTCAAATATCAGCAGGGTCACCCATGGCAAAAGTGGAGCTTTCAGGCTATGAACACACTAGAAAGAAGGGCACAAACTCATTGCCATCGAGTCAATGCTAACTTATAGCGGTTCCTTGTGGGTTTCCAAGACTGTAACTGTTTCCAGGAGTGGCAAGTCCAGTCTTTCTCCCATGGAGCTGCTGGTTTTTCGAACTGCTGACTATGAGAATTGCAGCCCAACACAGAACCCCTGCACCACCAGGGCTCCCAAAAGGAGGACTAGGGCACTCATTTCTGAGGGATTAATCACTAAATAGCTGTGGAATATTGTCTGATATTGTGCCAGAAAATGAGTGCTTCAGGTTAGAAAACTCTCAAAACATGGCTAAAGAATACCTTCCTCCTTAAGTAAAGCTTTTTGGGGCCCCCCTGCTGATGGGACACTACTCGAAAGGACGGAAAAAGGAACTCCTCAACAAATAGCGGCTCACGTCCATTAATAATCAGAGTGTGAAATGTACCATGGATAAAGCTAGGAAAATTGGAAGTCACCGAAAAGCAAATGGTATGCCTAAAACCAATAACCTAGGCATAAATGAACTGAAATGAACAGGCCACATTCCTCATTAAAAAAAAAAAAGAGACTATTTCCAGATCTATATTGAAGTACAATTCTGCCTATGGAAGGATAAGATCTAGATGCTTACAAGGAAGTCCAGTCACTACAACTATTATTTAAATATGCTCACCAACTACCAAAGCCAAAGATGAAGAGATTGAAGAATTCTCCTAATTTCTTAAGTCTAAAATTCATCAAACATGAACTCAAGATGCCATGGTAATGACTGGTGATTGGAATGTGAACACTGGAAACAGGAAGAAGCAGTAGTTGGACAATATGACCTTGGTGGTGGAAATGAAGCTGGAGATTGCATGATAAAACTTTGCTGTGCCCTGATGTCTTCACTGCCAATATCACTTTTAACATCGTAATCAATGATTATGCACACGAAATTCAGCAGAATGAATTGGCGCAATAGCTGCCACAGTGAACTCAAACACAACCCTGGTGGGGATGGCGCAGAACTGGCAGTCTTTCCCTCTGCTTAGTGTCATTCAGAGTTGGAACTGACTCACTAACACGATCCCAAACACTTCACCGCGACAACAACCTTAATGTTGCTAGAGTTGTCAGTAAGTGGAAAATAATGCCAACTGCATATGGAAGCACAGTACTTACTCATACAAAAGAGGGGCTTCAAAAAGGTGGTGGGAAAAAAATCCATTGTCTTTGAATTCCATTTTCCCATGAAATTTTGAAAGTCTTCTTGTACATATGAGGTAGTTTTAAATTCTGGGCAGAATATAAGTAATATGATTTAGTGGCTTATTTCTAGGGGACTTAAGTCCTAATCCAGTCTTGTCCAATATTAATGTGGCCTTTGACTATTCCTTAATAAGTATTAGAGAGGAGAGAGCCATGTACAAAGAGAAAGCTGCAGAGATCTGAGGCTGATCACCCTTGAGCTGGTATCCTTGAGCACACATCTCTGAGTGCTGACACGCATGTGAGGAAACTGCAAAGCCTGAGTAAAGAACTTCGGAAAGGATTAGGCAAGTCAATCTCTAACACTCACATAATGCCAAGGAGCTCGAGGATGGAAGACGTTCCTTACACATGAGGCATTAGGAAGGGCTTTCAAAGAATATCGCCTGGGGAGTGAGTCCAACATGGTCCTGACCTGAAGATGATTGTGATCTCCCTAACAAATTTAAAAATTGGCTTCAGGAGGATCAAACCGTTTCCAAATAAGTTCACTGCACTCCAGAACAATACCCCCAAAGCATTTCAAGTAACAAAAGTATTCTAGCACCTAGTAATGTAGATGTACTATGTATGACTTCAAAACAAACAGTGCACTCAGAAAGAGGAAATACGGTCCATAATAAGGAGTAAAAACAACTAGAACTCCACTGGAAATAGCACCGATGATAGAACAGTAGACATAGTTCATAGAAGCACGTATTTCTATTAGAATGGAAGTTATACAGT